GCCATCACTGGAGCAAGCAAGCCTCCCTGTTCGCTTCAGTGCATGGCTGCCGGCCGCCATCTTGGCTGGCAGTTAATTTGCATAAGGATATGCTGATTAGCCAATGGGAAGGGTAGCGGTCGTACGCTAATTACCATGTTTCTCTTTTATTAGTGTAGATTGGTCGCTTCTTGTATGTGCCCTGACTGGAGATCAAACCTGCAACATTGGTGTGTCAGGCCAACACTCTAACCAACTTACCTACCCTATAAATTATGTACTCTAAAACAACAGGGACACCAATCCTTTTACTTTTAACCCACCTGTGTCATACTTAAAAATGGATTTTCAAGGGCAGCATATAGTTGATTTTTAAAATTCATTTTGATAATTTATCTTTTAAGTGTTGCATTTAGGCTATTTATGTCTAATATCATTATTAATGTTTGCATTTATTTCTATAATTTTATTATTTGTTTCTGTTTGGTACATCGCTCATAGTTCCACTATCTCTACTTAAAAAAAATTTTTTTAATTGATTTCAGAGAAGAAGGGAGAGGGAGACAGAATCATCGATCAGCTGCTTCCTGCACACCCCCCACTGGGGATCCTGAAACCTGGGCATGTGCCCTGACCAGGAATCAAATTGTGACCTCCCGGTTCATAAGTCAATGCTCAACCACTGAACCACAATGGCTGGGCCAAATTTGGGATTTTTTAGCTATTTCTTCTAATAACTTTTCTATTTCACATTTTCTCAACTTCTGGGACACTGTTGACATGAATATTAGATCTTTTAGTATTGTCCCATGGGTTCCCGGGGCTCTGGTGTGGTTTGTTTAAACATATTTTTGTCTGTTGTTTTAGAATACATAATTTATAATGATCTACCTTCAAACTCACTTGTTCCTCTGCCTTCCTCCTTTCTGTTAATAAACCTATCCAGTGACTATTTTATTTTGGTTATTTCTATTTTTCAGTTCAAAATGTCCATTGGTTCTTCTTTATATCTTCTATTTCTTGGCTGAAACTTCCTATCTTGCCATTTGTTTTAAGAAATTCTCCCTTTCTTCTTCCAATGTGGTTTTATTAACTGCTTTGAAGTCTTTGCTTTCAATTCTAACACCTCTGTCATCTTGGGTTGGTTGTCTTTTCCCTGGAGATTTCTTTGTATGCTGTGTAATTTCATATTTTATCCTGGATATTTTGAATATTGACTGTAGATCTTGTTAAGATCCTAAGGAGAATGTTGTTTGTTTTTACAGGCAATTAATCAGATTGGGCTCAGGCAGCAACTTGCCTTCTTTGCATTGTGGTTCCATTATCAGTTTAATTTTGTGGTGGTATTTGGATCAGCTCTACATGTGTTCCACCCAGTGGCTAGTCAGACTTGGACAGTGGTCCATCCTGTTGCTCAGTTCACAAAGCTTTGGCAAGCTATTTAGGGTCAGATCCATGCTTGTGCTACTCAGAGATGAGCACAGGAGTTAACACATAATTCTGTAGGACTGTTCTCTTGAATTTCCTCCTATGACCTATCTGGTTCTCTGGGGGTTTCCCGTCCCAATCCTCTGACCAAAAGTTGGAATTTTTTATTTTCTCTAGTCTGCTAGGCATTTCCCACTATGTCTGGGCTAAGCCTCAAGAGAACAGAGAAAGAAAAAAGCACAGGGTATCTGACTCACACTTGTGGGACCACAACTCTTCTGGTCAGAGATAGGGATTCTCCTCTCAGAATTTCAAGTGCCTGCTCAGCCACTCTTGCTGTCACTGTTGTAGCTATCACCACCATGGTGTGCTTGGGGCTGGAGGTAGAAGAAAGAAAAAAAGAAAATGGGGTTTCCGCCCTAACCAGTTTGGCTCAGTGGATAGAGCATCGGCCTGCAGACTGAAAGGTCCCAGGTTCAATTCAGGTCAAGGGCATGTACCTTGGTTGCGGGCACATTTCCAGTAGGAGGTGTGCAGGAGGCAGCTGATCAATGTTTCTCTCTCATCAATGTTTCTCTCTATCCCTCTCCCTTCCTCTCTAAAAAAATCAATAAAATATATAAAAAAAGAAAATGGGGTTTCCCCCAATCTACCTCTTAGGAGTCCCTTTCTGCTCCTCACACCTGCAATAGAGGGTTCCAAGAAGAGTTCTTTCAGTTCACATCTGATGTTCATTTCTGGTTTTGGCTGCCTTTGAGTCCATTTTGGATGATACTGGAGGAGGAAAAATGGTGAACTCACCATTTTTTAGTGGAACTTTGAATTTTGTTTTTTCTCCCTGCTACCATTTACTTCTCTGAGATCTCAGATAGCTAGCTGCTCCATGCATTTAGGAGCATGGAAGACAGGGTGAGGTGTGCCTTCTCTACTTATAATTTGTGTGACCCTGGGCAAATTACATAATCTTCATACCTCTTTTGTCATCTTGAGCAGTGGGTAGTCATACAATCTCAGAAGGTCCTTGTGTAAATTAAGTGTTTATATACATAAAGCACTTAGGATACTGCTTGATTATAGTAAACACTTATAAATACTAGCTTGTATTATTAGCAATTATCATAGAAAGATAATTGTTATTTCACTTTGCTGATGTGGTCTCCTGCTCTGATGGAGGCCACCTGGGTGGCCTCTAACCAAGTCAGCAGGAAATGAGGTCCTCAGTCCATCCACCTCTGAAGCAGTGAATCCTGCGGACAATCCCTGAGCATGCTGGGAATCAAGTCCTTCCCATTGGAACCTTGAAATAATATGGCCCTAATGAGCACTGTTTGTAGCCTGTGAGCGACCCTAAAGCAGAAAACTCAGCTCAGTTGTGCCAAATCCCAAAACAGAAACTGAGTTAATAAATGTGTGGTTTTAAGCCAATAAGTTTTGGGATAATTTGTACACAGTAATATATAATACACTGCCTAGATTTGTCTCTCTACATGCCTTCCACTCATGTTGGAAGATGCACCTAAGGGGAGAATTTCTTCTCTAACAGGATTTCACAAAACACTGACTGTAGACATTGTCTGTTTTTCTTGTGCATGAGGATAGGCACCAGTCCAACCGCTGTTTTTAGCTTCAGAGACTCTGGTTTAATCTTTTAAGTGTCATCTGTCTCATGTGCATGAACTCTGAATTCTCATGAAAGCAAGTTCTCTTCCTCCTCCTCTTACTATAGTGGTCCAGCCCTGAGGTCATTTAAGATTGCTGTACGTTAGGGATGAGTGTGTGAGTGTGTGCAAGTGGTGATAAGATTCTTGGTTAGGAAGATTTTCCTGGTGCCCTGGGCTTATTTATACATGGAATCCCTAAATCCTGAACCAAATTTCATGCTCAAAAACTGAGACCACAAATACTCTACTCCCTCTTCTCCATGCCTTGGTAGCCAAGAGCCCATCTTTGCAAATCAAAGACAAATTGCATTTGCATGTCCCTGGGGCTGTGAAGGGTCCCCCTCCTTCTTTGGATATTTAGCCAGGCAGTCCCAGCCCAGCACACACTAGACTCTAGAGTAGCAGTTCTCAACCTGTGGGTCGCGACCCCTTTGGGGGTCGAACGACCCTTTCACAGGGGTCGCCTAAGACCATCAGAAAACACATATATAATTACATATTGTTTTTGTGATTAATCACTATGCTTTAATTATGTTCAATTTGTAACAATGAAATTGGGGGTCACCACAACTTGAGGAACTGTATTAAAGGGTCTCGGCATTAGGAAGGTTGAGAACCACTGCTCTAGAGCCATCCACTAAAGCAGTGGTTCTCAACCTTCTGGCCCTTTATTTATTTATTTTTTTAGATGGAGATTTATTGAAGAACAAGTACAGACTCCCACTAGGGAGGGGGGAAGGGTCCCATGGCCCTTTAAATACAGTTCCTCATGTTGTGACCCCAACCATAAAATTATTTTCGTTGCTACTTCATAACTATAATGTTGCTACTGTTATGAATCGTAATGTAAATATCTGATATGCAGAATGGTCTTAGGCGACCCCTGTGAAAGGGTCGTTCGACCGCCAAAGGGGTCACGACCCACAGGTTGAGAACCACTGCACTAAAGGATGGAGCTAGAGAGGTCAGGAAGTTATGGAGCCATTAGCTGCAACCAGCTTGCAGGAAAATGTATAAGTTCAAGAGAAAAACGGGCATGGGCAGAGGAAGGGGAGACAGGTTTAAAGCACTAGGAATGAGCAACTTCTATACATTAGAAGGTATGGGAGGAAGAAAGGGTTTATTTCAGAGGTAGAGACTGAGAATCAAGATGCAACAGACTTAATATGCTTGTCTAGGGAAAAGCTAAAATGAGAAGCCAGGAGTGTTAACTCCTGAAGTAGGGCTCTTTGGATTGGTCCCATTAAGTCTCCATAGCAACCTCAAGACAATATGCTTACCCAGCCCACTTTAATAAAAAACTCAGAATTCCACCCCACTTTCTAGGTCTGTGACTGACACCTTTAGGACCAATAGAGTGGTCTGTCCTAAATCTCCATCTAGAGAATAGCACAAGATCTGGGACCCTCTGGAGGCAACTGCTTCATATGCAATTGTGTGTGTGGGGGTGGGGGGTGGGCAACCATCCCTTACACTAGTGCTTCCCAATTCCAGGGAATGCATAACAGTGCACTAGGCCAAGACCAGTCCTTTCAGTACAATGCTAGGGAAGCTCTGAGCTCAATGGTTCTGATGCAAAAACTGAAGTGTACTGTCAATCTTCCCCTTATAATTCTTTAAGGTGGAAGGAAACAGGCTGAACTCCAGCTCCTTGAGGACTGGGACAGTGATCATCACTTTGCATCTCCAGTGCCTGTCACATATTGGTGCTCACGAAGTATCCACTGCTTCGGAACGAATGCTGAGATACTGAGCAATCTGTCCAAAGTCATGTAGGCCAAGACTCAGCACAAAGTATCTGGTTCTCTTCATTTTCCCGCACCATGCTGTAGAGTGGACTGGGAACGAACATTCTTCCCATCCACAAATAACAAAGACAGAAGATACCCAGTTCAGGGCATGCTTACAGATAGACTTCTCATAGATTTATTTTTGTGTTACGTTATATATAGATATAGTATATATATGTATATTTTTCTTTTTTAATACAATCTATATCCCCTTTCCTCCATAAAACTCACAAAAAGGAAGTATAAATTCTTCCAGGTTTGCCATCAGGCTTTCTAAGATAGCCAGGGCCAAGAAAGAACTATCTCTCAACATCTCGAGGCTCTGGGGTCATTGAAGCAGCAGCATTCCCAGGACCCAAGGGGAGGTGAAAAGAAACGACAAAATTTGAGGATGAAAGTGTCCAGTGACTCCTAGAATGGCAGACTAGCTCCCAGAACTTTCAGGGTGGGAACAGAGATGGGAGCCCTACGGCTCTGTAGATGCTGCCCAAATAGGCTGGGGGTAGGGAGTAGGAATCGGGGATTAGTCATGCAGGGGTGGGGTGGTAGGACAAGGATCACATGTGGGTTTATTGGAGACCAGCAGCCCCACCTACTCAATGACATATAATAAACAAGGGCAGTGCTGTCTCTTAAAAATATAGGAGAGAGAGCATGGTAGGGAAGGGGAGGGGACAATGGGACACATAAGAAAGTCACATAAAACAAAAAGTACCAACAAAACATGACTTGTACTTGCCTCCTCCCTAGAGAAGGTGTGATCTATGCTTGGGGGTGGGGGACAGAAGAGAGATGAAAGGTCATGAACCTAGAATTATCAGCTGGCCAGGGGCACAGGAAGGCTCTCTGAGGACTCCTAAGGGGCAGCCAGGCAGCTGGGACCCCGTATCCCCAGAGGAAAAAAGCGACAGTCCCTTCAGTTCGACTTGGACCAAATCTTGGCGCTCCCTCGGAGCCTGGCAAGGAGAAGAAAGAGAAAGAAGCTGCAAGGAATCCCCTAATCCCTGAAGGTTCCCCCCATTCCCTACCCCCTGCAAATGACTAAAGGGAGTGAAGACAGCCAGGTCTCTGAAGAAAAAGCAGGGCACCCCGGAAGCGAGCAATTCCTGCCACACTGGCTCACCCCTTGCCCTTTGAGGCTTTCTTGCTGGGCTGGCGTTGGTTGGTGCCAGCAGCTGGTTCTCTCAGTTCAGTCAGGTGTTGCTCAGGGTCCTGAGATGTGGCTGCGGCTGCTGCTGCTGTTGTAACTTTAATGGTTTTTTTAAGGTTGGCGACCTACCAGGATGAAAGGAGTGGGGGATAACAAGGAAGGTTCCAGAACCTCACAGTCCTGCCCACCTTGTTTGTCTGCTATAGCCACTGTCCAAACCCCTCTGCATTTGACAACTGGCCCCGGCTGAAGGAGCTTGGGTCTGTCTCACTCCCCTGACAGCTCACCTCACTCTCAATCTGCTGCTTCAGGCCCAGCTGCTGCTCCTTGTGCTGGTTGGCACGGCTCACCTGCTCCTCAATGCCTGACAGCACTACCTCGCAGCCCACACACCTGCAGGAATGAGGAGAGAAGTGTCAGCAGAAGAGAGCTGTGATCACAGACTCACTAAAAATAGACCCAGAAAGAACCCTAGATCCTGATATGCAAATCCTTGTCTGAGTTAGGAACCCTCACCAGGGCATCTGGAAACCACCTGCAACAATATTCCCAGGAGCCAGAAGGACACTCAGGTAGGATTAGAGAGGTATAAGGAAGTGAATGGAGTGATGTGCAAAACGGGAGTAGGAACTCAAAACCAAAGTGGGATAGGGGCTGCTAAAGAGAAATTAAAGGTGTACTAATTAAAGTTAGAGAAAGCAGAAGTGGAAGAGGCCCAGGGCCTGTGGACAGTGCTGGTTACAGACTAATGGGTTGAATCCAGCCTAAGGTAACCAACTTCCCAGTGAGGATCCTCTCAAGAGTACAACTCACCTTTCCCTCCCCCAATTATGATACTAAGGACACCATCTCCTGTCTCTTGCCTCTCAAGCCCCTCCACTCCTGTCTTCTCTCAGATGGAACGAGCTCATTTCCCTTCATCCTCTTGAATTCCACCTCTGCCGCCCAGCCCTCACCCTCCAAAGCACCTCTCCCCTGCGTGGGGTGAAAGAGAAGGGACAGTGCCAGGACACAGGTCTCACCACTCCTGTAGGGTTCGGGCAATGGCACTGAGGTCCTGGCGCTGGATGTCCCGTCCAATGCTGTAGTCAACCTCCAACCGCTGATTGCGCTGGTCCAGGGAGCCACGTAACACATCTGCATACACGGCCTCTATGACAAGGTCTTCCAGCTGCCGCACGTTACGCAGGGCAAGGGCCTCCAGCAACACTGCATATGGGATACACTGGAGCCGGGGAGGTCGGGCTGGGATTTGTGAGGCTCTGCCATAGAGAAGGACTTCCAAGATTCTTCACTCCTTTCCCCCGCCTAGGCTCACCTGCCTACCCTCCACTCCTATTCCTAAATCATTTCTTCTAAAAGGTTGGTTCTACCACAAAATAAATAGAAGTATTACTGCCTGAAAAATAACAGCATGAGAAGGGCTATCTTAAATAACATATACGACTTGTGCTCTCCTATCACCCTTACCTCTCACACCAGAGGAAGAAAGTGATTATCTGCCTGGGTGTCAATCCTCTGGCCAAAGCTCAGGGTAGTGTACAGACCTTGCTCAAGATCAGCTTGAAGCTTGACATAATGGAAGTATGTGGTGTGGGAGAGGTCTAGAGTTACTGTTACCATTTATACTCAGCATACTTCCAAAAAGGCTTCTCACAAGAGGCAGCCCGACTTAAGTAAAATCATTAGAAAGATGGGACAGTCTAGTAATGATTGGGAGAGTGCAAATGGACAGGAGGGGGATATTTAACAACAAAAAAACACACACATAAACACTTCTGGTTATATATTCCTTATTCTAGAATAGAAGTCTAGCACTTCACCAGAAGAGAGAGCCTTGTTCCCAGCCCTGAGCCTGGAGGCTGTTTGCATGGGCTGTTCTATGGTGGGAAGGAGGGTGATCCTTGTAAAATAGCGAGTGGCATCCCAGTTGCTATTTTGACCCCACACACAAAAGATGTTTTACTTAGAACTTAAAGTTGATTGAAAAATAAACACAAAACAGACAGCTAAGAGAAAAACACTCAGCCTAAAAAGGCTGCAGATGATGGAGTTTAGATACAGATCTAGGAAGAATGTGGAGGGGAAGGCAGGAAGAAGCAACAGTTGTTCAAAGGCTGTCCCAGTACAAATTCCCTTCAGATGGCCCTTGTGAAGGGACATACAAAAGGATGCTCTGTGGCTCACGACTGGGGGACTGTCACTCACCTTGACTTTGGCAGCTAGGGTGACGACTGATAGGTGTCGAAGCTTATTCTTCTGAGCTTCTGTGAGTGGGGGAAGATTCCTGGCTTCAGCTGGAAAAAAAGGACAAAGTAGGACATCCTGATTTCCTTTTTGTGGGAAGGCCTAGCCTCTGTCCCTTGCATTTTTTCAAGTTTTCCATGCTGATTCAGGTCTTGACCTTGACCCTGTGTACCTAAGGGATCTAAGTAGGATATCTCAGGAATTTCTCTGAAGTCCCTCCAGAAATTGCCCTTCTCCCGCCCCCACTACTCCCGAGCTCCAGCCCCTCTGGTTACCTAAGTAGTCAGCATATGTCCCGTAAGCAAACACCGTGAGCAGGCGGAATGTGGAAGCGAAGTCGCTCTCAGCCAGCTGCAAGAATATGAGGGAAGAGATGACAGGAAGGGCCTCTATTCACCCTTCTCCCTGCCTTACCCTGCTTTGAATCCCACTTCCTGGCCCCACCATTCCCTTCCATTGGCTCTCCCGGCTCACTGAAAGGAACTCTGCCTCTCTGATCACTGTCCGCAGAGGAAAGCCTCATTTCCACCTCCAGGCCTTTGTTTATACTACTCCCCCCCCCCCCCCCCCCCAATCACAATGCCCTCTGCCTCCCTAGCCTCCAATTCCTACCCTAAATTCAGAGTTGAGAACATTCAGTGTTCAATATTTCACACACGCACGCATGCACCAGACATCGCAAATGGTGATTTTATTTGTAAATTTAGTGTGTATATTTGTAAATCTGATTATCTTTAGGCAGTCTGCTATACTCCCCAATTCACCAGACTCCTGCCTCAGCCTCACTCATCTCTGACAGCTGCATGGCCTAGGCAGCCATTGGAATTTGTGGCCTCTGCTTCAGCCCTGCTTCACCAGGCTTTCATCACCCAGGCCAGCCCACCCAGATCTCCTCTCCTCCTATCCCTGATCACTCATTCTGACACTTAATCAAAACCTGCCTAAGGTTGTTACCTAAGAATATCTTTCTCTTCAACAAGATGACAGGCCCAGTCTTTGGTATCCCTCTTAGGTCAAGCAGAGCTAAGCATGTAGTTGTTGCTCTCAATAAATAACTTGCTGAATAAATGATTTGTATATGTATATCCATTCATCTGATCTCTAACTGAAATGAAAGCTTCAGAAGTACTGTTGTCTTTGACTACTTTCCTGGCATTCCCAGACAACAGGCATCCAAAAAATACTCTTCTTCACCTTGACTGACTCTGTTTAGCTCCACTGCAGAGGAAAGCAGGGAAAGCAGGCAGCCAGTTTTCTCTATACCACAGAGTAATCCCAAAAGACTAAATCCACTGACTCAGTCACTGGCCACTGACAACTTAATTCACAGTTTGCCCACATACCACTGTCATAGCAGCTCAGGACTTGGGCTGGTTTCATACATCTTGGCAATCTACCCCCTGTGGATTGTAAACTCTTAACTCTACCACTTCTGTGTGAATAGTTCCCTCTACTGTGTTTCTAGCACCTTGCCACATGTCTTTGGGGAAAAGATACCCTCTACATGATCTAACTTAAGTGATGGTGCAAGGGGGAGGGCGGGGCGGAAACAGGGTATGCCAATTTCACATTCATTCCTTACATTTGTACCAGACTTTACACTTTCCAATAATCTCACCTGATTTCTACAGCAATGCTGAAGAGCAGTATCAGCTCCATTTTTTGTTTATTTCTTTTTTCTATTTGTTGTTCCATTTATTTATGCATTCATTGGTTGAGTCTTGTATTTGCCATGAACAGGGATCAAACCCACAACCATGGCATATCGGGACAAGCTCTAACCAACTGAGCTATCCAGCCAGGGCACAGCTCCATTTTTAAAAGAGAACACTGAGACATGATTATTAAGAGCTATTACATTGGTGGAGACAAGCTGGAATCTGGTCTCCTATTCTGAATCACATGCTCTTTTGCTTAGAAATAAAAAATATGCCCTGGCCAGTTTGGCTCAGTGGATAGAGCGTTGGTCTGTGGACTGAAGGGTCCCAGGTTTAGTTTCAGTCAAGTGCACATGCCCAGGTTGCGGGTGGCATGCAGGAGGCAGCCCATCAATGACTCTCTCATCATTGATATTTCTCTCTCTCTCTCCCTTCCTCTCTAAAATCAATAAATATATATTTAAATAAAAATAAAAAACACTGGGTTTCACAGATCATTCATCCTCAAAGGGAAACTAAGAGTTTACTTGTGTACGTACTCCTGCAAGATGCCAGTTAATCATCATCCTGATATTGTTCAAGTGAATGGTTATGGGGTTGCAAAGTGAGTCCTGCCCACCCACCTCAAATTCAAACGTGAGCCCCAAGCTTCCCGGTGGGCTATCCAGGCCAGGAACCCACCTCTCTAACATTAGGCATATCCAGCAGTTCCCCAAACACGTAGACACCAGGGGCCTCCAGCACCTGGTGGATGAGTGTGGCCAGCGCTGCCCCCTTGGCCGACTTGGCCAGGAGCAGAAATTGCTCCTGGTTCTGCCCTGTCACCTTCACCTCGGCACTCATGGCTGCACTGAGCTGGGGGGACCTGGGCTCAGGATGTCTGGAGCTGCAAGGAGAGAGGATGTGAAGCTGGAGGTCCCCGGACACTGGGAGGGTAAGAAGCACAGGGCTAGGGCTGACTGCAGAGGCACAGAATCCCTTCTGCAACGGGGAGTCAGAGAGGGAGCCGTCAACATCTTGGATCCAGGAATCGTCAAATCCGCCACACCTTGAAGGATGCCAGGCGGAGACAGGGTCGCCACGCCCAGTCAGCCCGCCCCCCACCCCTGGGCCTAACCCCAAGCCCTACCGCGTACAGCCCGCTGAACCCCCAGGCACAGGATGCAGTGGGGGAAGGGGTGTCACATGGTCTCTACCCCAACGACAACGCTCCTTCTCATCTCCACTGTGCCCTGCAAGTGCCCCCCGCCACGTGACCTCACCCTCCGGGCCTGCCGCGTGGCTCCGCCCCCTCCCTTAAAGAGGCCGCCCAGAGACTGTGGGCTCCCGCAGCCTGCCGCGTCGTACCCTCGGTTAGACTCTGCGGGCCGCTACCTGAAGCTTCGTCTTCCCGATCGCCGGGCGGGGCCGCCGCTCCGTCACCTCCGGCAGCCGTTCCGAGTCTTTCCTGCCACCTCCCTTCAGGGTCGCTCTGGCGGCTCAACTCTATGGCTGACTTCCGGCCGTACTTCCGCTCTTACCGGGCGGGTCTGGGGCGGGACGTGTCCCCGCTCCCGTCTTCCGACTGCTGGAGCGCCTGTGATCGACATAAGCATTTTACTCTCTGATTGGTTGGTGAGGAAAGACTGACGGGCACCTTTTTTTTTTCCTGCTTTGTTTCAATAAAACTTTATTGTGGGCCATGGCCAGAGGCTAAATGCAGAGGGAGCTTCTGGTCTCAGGCAGGTATCCAGTGGTTGTGTTTAACGTTTCTTGGTCAGCCCTGGCCGGGGGTTCAGTGTCCTCCCATACACCAAAACCTTTGGGGTTTGAGAACTGGTGGGGGCACCTACGGAGGCAACCAATAAATGCATAAATAAGTGGAACATGCCCTAGCCAGCTTGGCTCAGTGGATAGAGCATCAGCCTTCAGACTGAGGGGTCCCAGGTTCGATTCCGGCCAAGGGCACTTGCCTGGGTTGCAGGCTCAATCCCCAGCGGGGGATGTGCAGGAGGCAGCTGATCAATGATTCTCTCTCATCATTGATGTTTCTATCTCTCTCTCCTCCCTTCCTCTCTGAAATCAATAAAGAAATATATATATTTTTTTAAAAAGTGGAACACCCCTGGCCGATGGTGCTCAAAGGTTAGAAATCCGCCTGCAAACCAAAAGGTCGCTGGTTTGATTCCCTGGTTCAAGGGCACTACCTGGGTTACAGGTTGGATCCCCTCCCCCTCGGTGCAGGAGGCAACCAATCCATGTGTCTCTCTCACATCAGATGTTTGTTCCCGTCCCCCCGCCCAACACACTTCCTCTCTCTCTTCCACTCTCTTTATTTTTATTTTAATATATTTTATTGATTTTTTTACAGAGAGTAAGGGAGAGGGATAGAGAGTTAGAAACATCGATGAGAGAGAAACATCGATCAGCTGCCTCCTGCACACTCCCTACTGGGGATGTGGCCGCAACCAAGGTACATTCCCTTGACCAGAATCTAATCTGGGACCCTTGAGTCCGCAGGCTGACGCTCTATCCACTGAGCCAAACCGATTAGGGCTCCCTTCACTCTCTTTAAAAACCAATGGAAAAAATATCCTCCGGTAAGGATTACAAACAAACAAACAAAAAAAGTGGAACAAATCGATGTGTTTTTCTCTCTCTCTTTCTCTCTTTCTCTCAAATCAATTTTTAAAAATGTTTAAATGTCATGATGGATGCATGAACAGAAGCAACAAGTTCAATTAAGAGGCTACTGAAGCCTGGCCAGCGTGGCTCAGTAGTTGAGCTTTAACCTATGAACCAGGAGGTCATGGTCATGGGAGGTCATGGCTGGATTCCTGGTCAGGGCACATGCCCTGGTTGCAGGATCAATCCCCCAGTGTAAGGCATGCAGAAGGCAGCCAATTGATGACTCTCTCTCATCATTGATGTTTATATCTCTCTTTCCCTCTCCCTTTATCTCTGAAATCAATTTTTAAAAAAAATACAGAGAGAGAGAGAGATACTACCGCAATCATCCAGGCGAGAGATGGTGTTGGCACAATGGCTGTGGAGGTGAAAAGTAGTTTTGGGTTCTGATTTTAATTTAAAGCTAGAGTGAACAGAATTTGCAAATGATTTAGATGTGTGGTGTGAGATGAAGAGAAAACATTAAGAATGACATCATACAGGCAAGTTGCACCAAATTTTCAAAGTGCACATCATTTTAATCCTGTATGAACTTTTCCAGAAAATAGGGAAAGAAAGGACACCCCTCAACTCATGGGCCAGAGTTACTTTGATAACTCAACAAGAAAAGGGAAATACTAGAAAGGAAAATTACAGGCCAATCTCACTTAACAAAGATACAAAAATCTTCAATAAAACACTAGCAAATTGAATCAATGTACAAAAAAAAAATAAATAAAGATAAAATATCCAAGATTAACTTGAATTTATGTCAGAAATTTAAAGGGAGCTTGATAATAGAGAATACATTCACTTTATTAATCATATTAATAGATTAAAGAAATAAATCACATACTCATCTCAGTGAATACAGGGAAAGCACATGATGAAATCAACATCCACTTGTGATTTTAAAAAATCTTTTAGAAAACTAGAAGGGAAGTTGTTAATCTGATAATTGAATGCCTGGTATCACCAATTCTGTTCAGTCTTGTAATGGAGGTCTTAGTCAGAGCAGTCAGTCAGACAAAGAGGGAAAAAGTTAAAGGATTACATAAAAAGATAAACAAAGCCATTACCATCTACAAAATATATGAAAATGTGATAGCAAATGTAAAAAATTTCAAAGAATCTACAAATAATTAGAATAAGTTTAACAAGGCTATGATTATATATACAAACTCGCCCTGGCTAGTGTGTTTCTCAGTGGTTAGATCATCTGCCCTAGGGTTGAAGGGTCACAGGCTCAATTCCCGGTCAAGGGCATGTACTTAGGTTACAGGTTTCTCTCACATCTACGTTTTTCTCTCTCTGTCCCCACCTTCCTCTCTCTGAAAAGCAATGGAAAAAATATCCTTGGGTGAGGATTAACTTTCCCAAAATAAATTACATATCTATATATGAACAACAAACAATTAGATGATGAATAATTTTTAAAGTTACTACTTTCACTAATATGAAAAATACCAAATACAAAAATATAAATGTAACAAAATATATGTAAGACCTGTATGCAGTAAATTATAATTTAGGATGAGACACTGCAGACCTAACATAAATGGAGAGATATCATGTTCATAGAGTAAAAGTGTCAATATCATGAGGAAGTCAATTATCCCTAACGTGATTATAGATTCAGTACAAATCAAAATACCAACAGGCTTTTTTGTGACTGTGTGGAACTGACAAAATGATTCTAAAATTTACATGGAAATGTAAAAAGCCAATAATAGCCCCTTGAAGATGAACAAGGTGAAAAGACTTGCTTTACCAGATACCAGGACATAATCACAAAGCCATCACAATCAAGGTAGTATAGTACTGGCACAAGATAGATAGATAAATTGACCACGGGAACAAAATACATAGGCAGAAACAGATTCACAAATATATAGACAGTTGATTTATAAGAGTTTGCACTTTTGAGCAGGAGAGAAAGGAAGCAGATTTCAATGTGCTGTGACAATTATCTATATGAAAACATAAAACAAACCCCTACCTTAAACCATATACAAAAATCACCCCCCACTATATGTTATATTAAATGTAAAAGGCAGCCCAGCCAGCGTGGTTGAGCATCGACCTAAGAACCAGGAGGTCACGGTTTAATTCCCAGTCAGGGCACATGCATGGCTTGTGGGCTCCATTCCCAGCTGGGGGCGTGCAGGAGGCAGCCAGTCAATAATTCTCTCTCATCATTGATGTTTCTCTCTCTCTCTCTCTCTTTCTCTCTCTCTCTGAAGTCAATAAAAACAAAACAAATAAATGTAAAAGGCAAATTAAAAGCCTTTTAGAAGATAATATAGAAAAATATATACATGAATTCAGGGGAAGGAAATATTTCATAAGAAATACTCAAATACACTAACCATAAAGGAAAAGATTGATACATTTGACTACATTAAAATCAAGAACATCTGTTCATTAAAAGACAAGCCACAGAATAGAAGGAAGCACTTACAACATATATAACTGACAAAGGATGTGTTCAGGATGTATAAAGAACTTTTTCAAATGAATAGGAAAAAAATATCCTAACAATAAAAATTATAAACGTGAACTAAAGTTCTGAAATAGCACTTCACAAGAGGAAATCCTCAAGGTCAACAAAATATGAAAAGGTGCTCAACTTCATTAGTGATCAGAGAATTGCAAATTAAATCCATAATAAAATACCACTGGATGCCCCAGAATAGTCTAAAGTCTGAAAATATTAAGTGTTGACAAGAATATGGAACAATAGAAACCATGATATACAATTAACGGGAGTATAAGTGGTTAAATCACTTTGGAAAAGAGTTTAGCATTATCTAATAAAAAGGAATATGCCCTATAATACAGTAATTCCACTCCTATGTATATAACAAATATATATATACAGTAGTAGTATTACATATACAATATATATCTTCAAAAGCAGACAAAAGAAACTATATTGTTAAATAATGTACACAAATATGGGTAAACTGTTAAGAAAAGCAAGGAAGTGATTTCCATGAAAGTCAGAATACTGCTTATCTCTGCGAAGAGGAAATGGTATATGACATACAAATAGAAACATACAAATCCTTTTTGAATACTGGCCAGGTTCTTTTAGTTAGCCTGGATGGTGGTTACACAAGTATTCCCTCTATAAGTATTCTATATTTTATATTTATGTCTTTCTGCATTATCTTTATGTGTTATATTTCACAATAAAAGTGGGCTTTACAAAGCATTTAGTTCAACACCCAGACATGACAAAACTCTTAACAGATTAGGAATAAAAGGGGACTTCCTTAACTTGATAAAAGTTATTTTATTATTATATTTTAAATATTTTTTTATTGATTTCAGAGAGGCAAGGAAAGGGAGAGATAGAAATATCAACGATGAGAGAGAATCATTAATCAGCTGCCTCCTGCACACCTCCTACCGGGATCAAGCCCCCAACCTGGGCATGTGCCCTGACCGAGAATCAAACTGTGACCTCCTGGTTCATAGTTCAACACTCAACCACTGAGCCACACTAGCCAGGCTAAAAGTTATTTTTTTTTAAACTACAGCAAACATCATTCTTACTGGGAAAACACTGGAAGTGTTTCCTTTAAAGTCAGGAACAAAAGAAAGATGCCAGCTATCACTACTTGTATTCACATTGTATTAAAGGCGATAGCCGGCACAAGAAAAGGAAATTAAAGCCATGATATTGGAAAGGAAAAGGCAAACTGCTATATTTGCAGATGATATGATTGTAGAAAATTCAAAAAGTTTATAGAAAAATTATTATACAGAAGAGGGAGCTTATCAAGGTAGTTGGCTCTAAAATCATTATTTCAAATCAACTGCATTTCTATATACCAGCAAAAACAATTCAAAATGTAATCTTAAAAAATATCATTTACCATAACAGAAAAGCAA